TTTTTTTTTTTGGTACCGGGGATCAAACTCGGGTCCTTGCGCTTGCAAGGTAGGCGGCAAATCCACTGAGCTAAATCCCCAGCCCAAGGCTGGATACAGAGATTCTGTGCAGATAATGATGAAAAAGTTCTGGAAATAATGATGATCACTGCCCAGCACTGTGAATGTTCTTACTGTACCAGATTTATAAATGGCTAAAGTGGTGAATTTTATAATATGTGTATTTTACCACAGTAAAAATTTTGAAAAAAGAAAACATTTTAGCTGTGTATCATATGTAACTGATTTTTTTAATTGGGATTTTTAGAGTTTATTACGGGTGTCTTTTGTTTTTTGTTTTTTGGTAGCATTGGGGATCAAACCCCAGGCCCTTACATATACTAGCCCTGATTTTTTAAAAAATACATAAAAGAATAAACAAAATTCTCCTTTTCATATTCATTGTGATCCTGAATTTAATACTTATTAAATTAATACTTATTATTACTCTGGTACTTATTATTTTATTTATTATGATATTCTGGATGAGGTGAAACTTCATTATTAAACTTAATCTATTCATGCCCTTGCTACAAAGTAACTGTTACAGACATGGTTCTGTTTCCCATATGGGAAAATGTAAGAATTAGATAAAATGATCCCTGATGTCCTATAACACACTTTTTAAATTTTGATTCTCTATCAGTTCAGTGGTACTTTTTGTTGTTCACAATTAGATGATCATTGATGTTTATGATAATAAGCAAAGAAAAGTTAAAGTCAGTATTGTACTTATTATACTTTGGTTCTTTTAAAAATACAGGGTATTTATGAGAATTCTTAAGTATATTGGTTAATGGTTCAATTATTAATTTCTCTGATATTATTTATAACCACAAAATATACTTTGTATTTCTATAAGCTACTTTTATTTTATTTTATTTTATTTTTTGGTACCAGGGATTGAACTCAGGACCTTACGCTTGTGCGGCAGGCGCCAGAACCACTAAGCTAAATCCCCAGCCCTATAAGCTACTTTTAAAAAGATTCTTCAGAAAATGTAATGGAAAATAGCTAAAACTGTATATTTTCTAAGATTTCAATTTCAGTCATTGAAAATTATAAGGAATTTTTAACAAGTGGGTAAAAAAAATTCTGATTTGTTTTTTGTTCTGGTTTTTTTTTCAGGGAAGGAATTGTAAAAGATATGGAGATTTGGGAATCATCGAGGCAGTGGATGTTTTCTGTTTATTCACCAGTGAAAAAGAAACCTAGTATTTCAGGTAACTGGGAAATTGTTTTTGGAAGTTTTTTTTGTTTTTTGTTTTGTTTTGCTTTTTGTTTTGTGGTGCTTGGGATTCAACCCAAGGCATCATACATGCTAAGTAAGTACTCTACTACTGAACTATACCCCTGGCTAGAAATTGAGTGTTTAAAATATATTCAAAAACTATTACTTTCTAAAACCAATACCATGCTAAATAAAGAAATGAACTACAAATTTAGCTGCAGTTAGATTTTCGTACATTATTTAAAGATTCCAAGTATTCTAGCAGAACTTCATAATTCAGAGATTGAGGTTGGAGAATATAGTTCCTTTAGGATATGTATGTAGTTCTCAGCAAGTGTGGCAGTACATCCCTATAAACGTAGCACTGAAGGAGACTGAGGCAGAAAGATAGCAAGTTCAAGTCTCACCTGAGCAGTTTAGCAAGACCCTTTCTCAAAATGAAAAATACAAAGTGCTAGGGGATATGTAGCTCATTGATAGAGCACCTCTGGGTTTGATCCCTGGTACCCACCGCCCCCCAACGTGTATATATTCCTCATGAGATATTAACAAAATCAAGACCTACCACAATTCCATACCTAGGAAGAGGCTCTGCTTTCTTAGTTTCCTATATATGAAACCTCAGAACTTTCTAAATGCCTGAAATGAATAGAAGAGTTACATCCTGCCTACCATTAGGTTCTGTTCATTCATTCTTTCCTTCTAAGAAGTTATTTTCCTTAAAGCATATTGAAACTTATCCTAGAGATAATGTTTGAAGAGAAGGAACCTTACGTGGTCTACATGGATAGCATTTCTTTAGTATAGTTATTTTTTTCCCATTTTTTCTTAACCATGGTCCTTCAGCCCTGGGGCTGAAAGCTTCATGACCAGGCTTTTCCAAGCCCTGTCTAGGTGCTCCTAGGTGCTCTAGGGGCCTTTGTCTTGTTGAGGAAGCAACTCACCTGTAACACCAGAGCTAGGAAGAAAAGAATACAAATAGATAAGGTAATTTCAGGTAGTGATATTTTCTATAAAGAAAATAAAATATTGTCTTAGTTAATTTCTCTCATTGCTGAGACAAAATACTCAACACCCAAAGTTAAAGGAGGAAAGGTTTATTTATAAGCTCACGGTTTGTAGCAGTTTCGGTTCATAGTTGGCTTTCTCCAAGGCAGGGTGGCATGGCAGAGGGGCATTGCAGAGGAGAAACAGTTCATGGCAGGCAGAAGGCAGCAAAGTAGCAAGCAGCAAGTAATGACTGCAGCCCTCTTTCTGTCCCTTATATTCTATCCATGCTACATGCCCTTAGGGCAGGCAGCACTCACACCCAGGGTGGGCTTTCCCGTTATCCACACCCAGAACTATTTGGAAACCAATCAGTAGACTAATTTAGTAATCACACCCTTGAATCCAGCATTACACACTTAATCCCAGCATCACACAATCTAGATTCAGTCATCTCTGAAAAGCCCCACCTGTGACCACATGAGGCTTTGAGGGGACATCTAGACACAAGCCATAGCAAGTACTAAGACTTTAATCAATTTAAATAGTAATTCTTAATTAGTATTTAAGTCTTAGTCAGTTCAGAATTGAACCTGATACCTAATGTTCTAAAGCAGTGGCTCTCAAATTGTTGAATGTTGATTTGATCTGTGTGTAGAGTTGCCATATATAAAATGTAGAACATCCAGTTATATTTAAATTTCAGGTAAAGAATATTTTTAATATATGTATATTCCATGTAATATTTGGGACATACTAAGAAAATATTTGTGCTTGGAATTCAAATTTAACTTGCATGCTGTATTTTTATTTGCTAAATCTGGCAACCTTTCCCTAAGACTCCTTAGGGGCTGTATAAGTTCTAGAATATTTCATAAACTAAGACATTAATTACCATTTTTACTGTATTGACATTTGTAGTGTTGATGCAAAAGCATTGATGAATAAAATTGGTACTCATATCTTAGTATGAGTCAAGTATTGACTCTGCTCTTGAAGCAGAGTCAATAAACTACTAGTAGAAAATAGAAATCATAATAAAGAAAAATTTTAAGTGTTACTTTGGAAAGAATATTCTTGATGAAGAAGTAAAAGCCAGACACAGTGGCACCACACCTGTAATCCCAGCACTTAGGGAAGTTGAGGGAGATCACAAGTTTGAGTAATACTGGGCAATTGTCTCAAAATAAAAAGTAAAAAAAGGTGGAGATACAGGTCAGTGGTAGAGCACCCCTAGGTTCAATCCCCATACCACAAAATGTTTTAAAAAGTAAAAAGTATTTTATTAAATCTTGAGCCTTGAGTATACATTTTAAATATTCTGTGTAACAAAATGGTAAGCACACATAAAGGGCTTCTGCCCCATTCCCAAGTGTGATGTTTATCTTGAGGGAAAACCCATCTGTGGTCATTTTAGTTATAAGCTGACTGAATCACTCTTTTTTTTTTACATCTTTTATTGCAAAGCATGACATCTCTGATTATTTATATTTGGGTATTTGGAGGATATGTTGAATGAATAAATGAAGTGAGCCTGTTGTTTCAAAGAAAATAACTGACAGTGTTTATTGCCAATGATAAAATTTATGCTTTCAAGCAAAAATTAAAATTATGAAAAACTCTTCTGTCACTGTGAACATGATGGCTTCTCAGTACTCAAAATTTCTTCTAATGAGATGGATGACAACATTAACAAATATGAATTTTTTATATTATATAGTGACTTTTCCAACATTTGGAAGTTCTGCATTAACTCATTGAACCAATATTTTCTAAATGACCAATGTTTGGTGTTACAAAGTTACACATGGCTGAAAATCCATTTTAAGTACAAAATAAATCAGTTCCAGTAGATTTTAATATAATATCACAAAAAGCTCATTAGTGTTTTGTTGTTTTTGTACTGGAAATTGAACCTAGGGAGTACTGAGTTATATCCCCAGCCCTATTTATAAGTTTAGGAGGCCAGCCTCAAACTTGCTATCCTTCTGCCTCAGCCTCCAAATAGCTGAGATTACAGGCATGTACCACCACACCCAGGCACTCATTAGCTTTTGACTCCACTTTGTAGCTAACCTTTAAAAAACTAGTTTTGTTGTAATGTCAAAGAATAACACAGTTACCTGAAAAGGCCTTTGATGTCTTCTTTTTCCAATGACATATCTGTGTGTATATAGATTTTTTTATATCCTTCAACAGGTTGAAACTATATTCAACATACTGCAACAGAATGAATGCAGAAATATATATATGAATCTAGCAGTCTCTTATTAAACCAAACATTAAAGATTTACAGACATAAAACAATGCTATTCATCTCATTAAATGTTTTTTGTTTTGTTTTGGAAAATAAGCATCTGTGGATATTCATTTGGGATTTTTTTGTGTGTCTTGTTTTTTCTTGTCTTGCTGTGCTTCATCAAACCCAAAGTCTTGTACATTCTGGTTTTGTTTGGTTCTTTGTTTTTTGGTTTTGGTGCAGAGGATCGAACTCGGGACCTTGCGCATGTGAGGCAGGTGGAGGAACCACTGAGCTAAATCTCCAGCCATAAAGTCTTATATATTCTGGGCAGATGATCTACCGCTAAGCTATATCCGCAGCCTCTGATTTCTTATTTTAAATTAATTAGTAAATATTTTCTGAAATTCTCAGTTTTCATTTTCAGATGTGGTAATTATCAATATATGTAACCCATGTAAACAAAAGCTTTTTGGGAGTCCTTCATTAAAATGTAAATGAGGGCCAGGGATTTAACTCAGTGGTTCCAGCACCTGCCTCTCAAGTGCAAGCACAAGGTCCCGAGTTCAATCCCTGATACCAAAAAAACAAACAAACAACAAAAATGTAAATGAGTTCTGAGACCAAAATGTTTGAGCACTGCTCTCCTTAAGCATCCATTATAAATAATGAATTAACTTTCCTATACTGCTAGAATGATACTCCTTTTGTACCACCCCTGAAAAAAAATAGTTACTCAAATCATTTTTTGTGTTCTTTGGTTCAAATGAAGAACCCTGGTTGAGCATGACTGGTAGGAATAGAGAGTGACTAGAGGAGTAGCGTTCCTTTAGATAGAGTGGTCATTCATTCTAGAGAGACAATAGTGGGGATGAGCCCTGAATGAAGAGAAGGTGTCAGTTATGCCATGACTGATTTGGGAAGAACATTCTTGGTAGTGTGATACCCAGTGCAAATGCCCTAAGGTGGAAACAACATTGGCACATTTGGGTACTAGTTAGGTCCAAATTACTGAAGGAGAGTAAACAAGGAAGAGTAATACAAGAAAGCAGAGAGATGACAAGTGATCCGTGATGTTGGGTCTAATTGCACTGGGTGGGCACACATGAAGAGTTTTACTCAGAACGGGGATGTGGTCTGATCAGAGAAAGCTCACTCAACATGCTACATGAAAAAAAAGTCTTTTGGGAGTTGGGGCAAAAGTAAAGGCAGGACAAGTTACAAGATCACTGCTGTTGACTGGATTACACTTATCAGCAGTGGAAACAGAATTAGTCAGATTTGAGTTCTGTTTTGGAGCACAAACTGACAGGATGCTGATATAGTAGATGTGAAGAAAGAGAAATCCATTGATTCCTAGGGTTTTTTCAACTGATGTAGATGTCCTTGGAGTTAATATCTGGGATTCTCTGTAGAAAATATCCTGAACATTTTTTCCTTTTCTTAATACATTTTTCCAATTATAAAAGTTACAGTTGTTGCTATAGAAAACATAGAAGGTACAAAATATGTAAATTAAATTTATCTGATGTTTCAGGTAACAGCTGAAACATTTTAGTATCGCCTTCAAAACATATATGGAAAAAGTATTTATGTGTATACATAATATATATGTATATATATATGTATGTGTATATATAAAATTAAGCTTATAATCACATTTGGCATTCTACTTTTTTTTGGTGCTAGGGATGGAACCTAGGACCTCTTGCATACTGGGCAAGCACTCTACCACTGAGCTATACCCTCAGCTCACTATTCTACTTTTTGTTTTATTGCTATTATTAGAAATACTGGAATGAACATCCTTATACATAATAACCTTTGTTTACATATATAATTATTTCCAGAAGTTAATTATAGAAGTTGTATTGCAAGTCAGAAAACATGCACATTGTTAATGCTTATGATGCTTATTGACAGTATTCCCCTCAGAAAAGTTGCATCATTCTGATTACCTCACCAGCAATTTAGGAAAATATCCATTTTATTTATTGCATAACAATAAATATTTTTTATTTTTCATTTTTGTCAGTCTAATAAGTAAAGCATTTTATCTGTAGATTAAGTTGCATTTAAAAATTTAATTTCACTTATTCACTGGCTATTTGAATTGTTTGTGAATTGCTTGTTCTTTATCTTTACCCATATTAACTTATTTTTCTTATTGATTTGTAAGTGTTATTTATACATTAAGGATATTAGCTGTTCTCCTATCATATATGCTACAATTATGGTTTCCATAGTTTACTATTTGTTTATTATAGACTCTGATAGACTTTTTAAGACTAAAGTTTGAATGTATATGTAGCCAGATCTTTCTTTTTCTTTTGTTATTTCTTCCACTCCACTTATTTTTAGAAAATTCTTACACAGAGATCAAATATTTAATTCTAATTTTATACTTTATTAGATATTAAATAGTGTAGACTTTGGATTTTTTCTCATGATTATGAAAATTTTCTGATAATCAGTACCAACATGTTTTCTTGTCTAGCACCTCTAGCTTTACTATCAAAATTATTGGTATTTATTTTTAAAATTCCAATTGATTCCTCACTTCAGGTTTTACAGATATTTCACCAGAGGAGTTGAGACTTGAATACCATAACTTCTTAACCAGCAATAACTTACAGAGTTATGTAAGTTTTTTTCCTATTCATCTACCTGAATAACAAATTGGCTCTCAATTGCTGTTTTCTGTATTTGCAGTGGCTTGCTTGTGTTTTGTCAAAGTTGATGAGGACTGTTATTTTTTTTCAGGACAAGGCTTTTTCTTTTTTTTTTAAATTTCTTTGCTAATTGGTTATCTAAAATGATGATAATATATTTTGCTGTAGTAATTAGAAATATCACTTTTAATACAAATTTCTCAGGAATCAGTCCCAGATATCAAACCTTTTCATCATTTAACAGATGTTTATCGAGCACCTTTTAGGCACATATCCCATAGTGAATGCTAGGGGGAAAAAAGCAGTTTTTTATACAGATTAACATCCTCACATATCATGTATCCAAAAAAAAAAAAGAAGAAGAAGAAAGAAAAGAAAAATCTGAATAAATTGAGTGAGTAGTCAATAGAATAGAATAAGTTTGGTACCTGAAGGAAATGGTAGTATTTTTCTGTTGTCTACAGTCATGATCCTATGTTTCAACTAGTTCACATAGTCACCTTCCATCCAAATACAAATAACTGTGCTGCCAGGTATTTGTGATTAACCAGCGGCTACAAGGAGTTGGCGAGCCAGGAGTGGTTACGCATACCTACGATCCCAGCACTCTAGTAGACTTAGGCAGGAGACTTAGGCAGAAGGATTGGAAGTTCAAGCCCAGCCTGGGCAACTTAGTAAGACCCTCTCTCAAAATAGAAAAATTAAAAAGGGTTTGGGATGTAGCTCAGTGCAAAGGTCCTGAGTTCAATCCCTATTGCCCCCTCCCCCCCCAACACATCAAAAAAAGGAGCTGGTTAACGGGGAGAAGTGACTGGAGTGGAATATCTTTGGCAAACAGAAACAGGTCAGTGCAAATTTTATAAGAGATGGGCTATAAAACTGTTAGGTAAACTTTTTTAAATTTTGGCAAAGAAGTGAAATTGTTATTGATGAAATTTAAATATTTGTTATTAAGTTACTTTTTTCTGTCTTCTCTCTTCAGCTAAATTCTGTCCATCAGCTTGTAAATCAATGGAGGAATAGAATGAATGAACTGAAGAATCTGAATACCTCAACTAAACTAGCTTTGGTGAGTATTGGAATGTTTTCTTCAAGAAAGTGTCTTATCTGTTACTCTTTTGAAAAGGATATTTCACTTTGAATTTGAAAATCAAAGCAAAAATTTTGTCAAGAATTAATGAAAAGTCAGGTGTGGTGGTACATCCCTGTAATCCCAGCACTCACAGAAGGATTGCCACAAGTTTGAAGCCAGCCTGGGCTACATAGTAAGTTCAAGGCCAGCCTGAAGTATAATAGCAAGGCCTTGTCTCAAAAAACAAAATCAAACAAAAAACAAATGAGAGAAATTGTATCTGATTTCATTAGCAAAGTCTTAGAGGAAAGGAGTCAGTGACAAGTTTCTTGAAAGGGGAATTCAAATTTCAGTAGAGATAAAAGAACATAAAATATATTTAAGGAATAGGAAATGTTTAATGGATTTTAGTAGTAAGTTTTTAATGTAACAGTGAATCCACTTTAGTTCAAGCATTATAGTGGGTATCTTCTCAAGGTTCTTTTTATTTTTTGGTACCAAGGATGGAACTCGGGGTCCTTGCGCTCGCACAGCAGGCAGCGAAACCACTGAGCTAAATCCCCGGCCCTTCCTCAAGGTTCTTTTTACCTGTGTCTAGATTTCTTGATGAATGTAGGTCAAATCTTAAGAACATAGACACTGAAATGTATCATTAAAAATATTTTTCTGAGCCATGTATAGGAGCACACACCTGTAATCCCAGTACTCAGAAGCTGAGGTAGGAGGATCGCTGCAAGTTTGAAGCCAGCCTGGGATACATAGTGACTGACTTCAAGGGCAGCCTGAACTACATTGTGAGACCATGTCTCAAAAAAACAAAACAAAAAAAAATTTTTTTTCAGATTGTAATACATGCTCATTAAATTTAGAAAGTATTTAAAAGGCATAAATAAAATAAAAATCATCCATAATCCTCAGTGAGAGACAATCACTAATAACTTATGTACATTTTTCTATGAATATTCATATTAGTTGATATTATACTTTATACAGTGTTATATTCTATCTCTTCAACATCATATTATGGCCATTTTCCCATGTTAAACATTTGAATTCACATAAGTACACATTTTTTAAAGTATGAATATATCTGTGAAGCATATAGAACAGGTACTTGAGAATTATTCATCAAGTACTTTACTATTTGCATTTTTTTTTTCAAAGCTCTCTGAGTTAAAGGATGAAGCAAATCATGCAGCACCTGCATTTGGATTTGGAAGTGGACAAGCAGGAACATTTGGGTCACCAGGTAAGAGATACAGTAATGCAGGACCTCACTAGTTCAGAAGAGCAGGATTTTGTAAATTTCAAATTACAAAGCCTAAATCACCATTTTAAATCACTCTTGCAAATTCTGGTGTCTTCCATTATAGAGCCTCAGAACTTAGCTTATCAAGTATTTGTGAAAGGCAGACCAGAATGGGCATATCCTTTGAGACAGCTATGGCTCAAACTTGAGAATTTTTTTACGAATGTTTTCTCAAGAGTTTCATGGGAATACACAACTATGATAGCAGAACCTTTGATTATTTTCCTATCACTTCTGATGTCAAGTGACAGTTCTGGTGAGATGGGGAAAACCAAAATTGAAAGACCACTCCCTAGTCCCTGAGATTTCCCTTGGGTAAAGATAAATCACAAGTAGCAGAAATGACAGGAGAATAGGATTTAGTGAGTTTGTCCTAACCTCTCATTTTCATTTTTCTCTTCCAAAAAGTTTCTTCCAAACATGGCAGAAATAAGAAAAAGAGGAATAATGGGGCTATATTTTCTGACTATAATAAATTATTTTTTCTGTTTCTGTTTAAGGTTTTCCAGTAAGTAACAGCAGCAGTGCTAGTACTCAGAATTTTAGTTTTAAAACAAACCCTGGAATTGTCACTGCCCCTGCTGGAAGCCCTTCTGTGTTTGGGGCTTCTCCAGCATTTGGAGCTGTACCCTCTACTAGTTCTGCCAGTTCTACTTCCACTCCGAATTTTGGATTTGGGAAACCTGAAATCACTTCTGCTGCTTCATTTTCATTTAAAAGCCCTGCAGCTTCCACTTTTGGATCACCGGGACTTTCAGGATTTCCACCTTCCATGGCAGCAGGTCCTTTTGGAACTCCAGTGGCTCCAACCTTTGGAAGTGGCAGTTCTGTGGCTGGTTTTGGGAGTCCTGGCTCACATTCTCACACTGCTTTTTCTAAGCCATCTAATAACATCTTTGGAGGTGGCAGCACTTCTACCTCTCTTCCAGTCTCCAGTGTCCTCATTACAACAGATAATGTGTTATTCACACCCAGGGATCAACTAACAGCAGGTGAACTAGAACAGTTTCAATCCAAGAAATTTACTCTAGGAAAAATTCCATTAAAGCCGCCACCCATGGAGCTTCTAAATATCTAAAAGGGCAATTTGATTTGATTTGATTTGATTTGATTTGGGTTTTTGGGTGGGGGGGTGGGTACTGGGGATTGAGCTCGGGTCCTTGAGATTGTGAGGGAGGCAGCAGAACCACTGAGCTAAATCCCCAGCCCCTAAAAGGGCAATTTTAAACACAGAAAAGAATAAAGAGATTGAGGGTCTTTGGGGATTTTTTTGCAGTGTTAGGGATCAAACCTTGTACCTCATATACGCTAGGCAAGCACTCTTCTACTAAGCTATGCTCTCAGCCTTGGGAATGGAATGGCTTTTGAAATTATCTTATGCGGTTCATATAAAAGAATATATATATGGATTTTAAAGTTAAACTTTTTCTTGAGTCTGACTACATAAAACATAACAAAATAAAATCTCAACAAGAAGGAAATTTTTTTGTACTGTAATTACAAATGGAACTGAAATAATTTATATGTATTTAATAAAATAATTTTCTTATTCTGTATAACTACCATTTTGGAACTAAAAAAAATTGTACTGAATAAATTATTTTCTCTATATTATTTTATTGTCTTATCTTTTAAAGCTCTGTGTGTGTGACAGAGAGAGAGAAAGAGAATTTGGGTATTGAATCAAGGGCCTCGTACATGCTAGTTGAGTTTTTTACGTCCCCAGCCCCTGATTTTTTTTTTTTTTTT